TGTACGTCAAAATTACTCTACGTCATCAGCGGGATTAAACACGCACAAGACAACAACCCACAGCGACTCCCCCTGAATTAGCCGACTAATATCAGTAGCGTCGTTTTGAAGACGGCGACCGGTGTTTGAGGTTCCGAACACAACTTTGCACCGCGTGTCGTCGGAGTGGCGTCGCGGTGCTACACGTGTCTCGTCGACACTCCTGTCAGTGCGTCTCTGCCCCATTTGTATTGCAGATAGCGTCTAAAGCCTTATTAAGATTAAGGATAGGTTAGCTTGAGTGGAACATCAATGCAAAGCCTTCAGGACAACAGAAAACACGACCAAGCACGCGTGTCTGGAGTGGAGAGTTTATCTTGTCTCGTTGGTGACGTATAATTTATTTTATTTCAGTGTTATCAATTGTAATGGATTCTGTGGGAGTGAAACTTGGTCGCTTGTTGCGGTAAGAACACAAGTTTATTATCAGGAGAATTTTCGGACCTGGGAGGGATGAAGTGAGAAATTTTCAAAATTTGTGTCCTTCGCCATGGTCTAATCTATGACATCATCAGGGCACGTGTCTTGGGGGAAGGAGAAAAATACATACAGAACTTCATCAGGGAAACGTGAAGGAATGAAACGACTTGGGCGATCTAGACTAGATGGGTGGATAATATTAAAATGGAATTTAAAAAATTGATAAACGTGTGAATTCATCTGGTTCAGGATACCGTAAGGTGACGAGCTCTTGTAGACGCTCTGAAACGTCGTGTTCCAGGCGATAGTTTATTGACTGCGAGACAGAAGACGCTCGGCGTCGCTTGTGGTGCCCTCGCTTAAGAATTCAGATGTCATGGAATAGAAATGTTGTTCTCTCTTAGGCAAACGTCATATTCCACCATGCGGAGTTTACCTACGTATTTTAGTACCAAATCTTAACGCATGACGTCACAATTTGCGAAGGTTTGTTCCCCAGTATCGCGTGGATCCCCAAGGAAACGTGTGTGAAGTCTTACTTAACTTGTCATCCGATTAAGTGCGATGTGTATGCTGTTTGTTATCACCCAGCTTCGCTGTGCTTCTGGGAATTGACACCATCTGATGGAGTGAGTAGCATTGTTTGTCTTCTGTTGTTAATATTGTTGTCTTTCTCCTTTCAGATTCCTATTTATTATATTTGAACCTCCCTCTGGAGACACAGACCAGCCAGAAGAAAAATTGTTGGCTTTCGCGGAAGCGACGACACGAGCGAAAGAGAGCGATAATAAACGGGACAAAAGGGGGAGGAGGAGGAGGAGGTAAGTTCTGTAATGTCGTATCTAATAGTATTTGGTTCGACTCCTGGTTGTTGCACGTAATGTGATCAGACGCCACGCAAACCAAAGCCTAAATACGAAATGCACAAGACTTAACACACTTCGGCCCTTCAGGCGTTGTTAGGGATGTTGGCCGTGTAATCTAATACAGATTTACCGGCGTTTCACACGTGTTATGAGTCTCCATCATCAGGGCGAAAATCTCCGTTGACAAAGAGAAAACTTTTTTTTCAGTCACATGACTAAGTCAAAGACCGTGGCTATCTCTTGATTACTCCTGCTTTGTATTCCAGAGGGACCGGGTTTGAATCTCGACTCTGAGACCAGGAAGTGACTGAAGTTTTCCATGTTTTTCCTCAGTACGTTAAATTCTCTCCAGTTCGCTATGCTTTAATCATCTTGTAGTTCGATGATGTATCATCTGAGCTACCGTCAGAGTCGTTAAATGAAACATTAATAACAGTTTTCTTATGTTATTCGTCTCTGATTAAATCGCGTTCTGAATTCGCTGTTCTGTAATGATTCGTAAGACATTTCTTGTTAGTATGTTCTTAGGGAAGTCTGTTGTGGTTGTTACAGATTCAACACTTTGTGTATTTTTACAGAATATTATGTAAAGTGGTGTTACTCCTTTTCATTTGTTCATCCCGCATTAAGAAGATGGATTTCTTGAAGTTTCGTGCAACGAATTTAAAATATAAAATGTCTATAATTGCATTTTTTCCAAGGGAAAATAATTAATAACATTTTAAAATTGTAAGCAATAAAATTTCCCATGGGGAAAAAATGGCGTAAGTAAAGAATTTTATAATAAAACATTTCATGTAAAATCAAAGACGCTTAAATTTTGGTGCGATAACAATAATTACATATGAATAGGGTATTCTCGAAACGTCCGTTCCGAGCTTCATACACAGAGAACAAAACTACCCCCCCCCCACCCCCGGTTTTGTTTTAAGTTACACACGACCGTGTTCATTAGTTTTGCTTCCGGACTTAATGTATTTGCGTTTTTGTTTAAAATACCTTCTTAAATAGACAATATCAATGAAAATTAAATGGAGCACACGAGTACACGAACCCTCGGGGAATTTATTTAAAACGCTTCTCGTGTCGCATATAAAAACGCTAAACCATGAAGTGAGCATTCGAAACCATTTTGAACATCGTAAAGAAGAAAGTTGGGTAGGAACTTTTACAAATAAAATAAAAAATCCATGAGGCCTTCAGGGCGGTGTTATGGGTCATCAGGGAGAGCAGAAGGTGACACGGGAGATGCACATAATAAATATTATAACAACAACGAGATGGAGGAAACAGCCGGCGGGGGGGGGGGGGGGGGGTCATATTACGCTCACTAGTTCAGTTACTACACGTTACAGTGTTACGAGCTTTCTGCTAGGTGACAATTGCTTCTAGAGGAAAAGTTTTATGATGGCGACGAGAGCAAGAAGCTGGCTTAAGCTTTAGCCATGGGCCTGTAAGACGGGGCTTCACAGGGACAGCTGATTGCTCAATCGCTGAATAACAATCAGTCGTTTTGGTTCTTACTCGTCCGGAGATAGGGATTAGCTCTATCTAGAACCTGAAGACGGAGATAGAGTTCCATCTCCGAAACGTCGTTTTTTGCGTTTTATATTTTATATTCTACTAGACGATGGATAATATCCAAGGAAATTTTTATTCAAATGTCTAACACGTCTGTTGATAAAAATGAATATTAAACATTGCACAAAGTCACAACTTATGACAAAGTCGTTAAATATCGACGTAAGTTGAGAATTTTTTTTTAGAAATGAAGGTACTGCCACCTGGAAGCATCACTAAGGAACGAAAATTAAATTATAAATCTCTAAATTGCTTGTGAGTATCCAATTCCGAAAATTGTGACTATCGTTTCCAAAACAATGAAGCTAGCAATTTTGAATTATTTCATTTGTTTTGTATGGGTGTCAAACACGGTATTGTCGCTCTGGGGGGAAGGACATATGAGGGTCTGGAAACTATGAAGATCTTTTAAGCACTTTGTCGGATCTTTTGCTAACGCTCAGGACAAAAGGAGAATTATGGGAAAATAACTGGATTTTAACGACGCTGGACTGCGTTGTTGACTGAAACTGCTGTTGGTTGAACGAGGCACGGAGCAAGTTGACGGAATTCACCGGAATTCGAAGCTCCTGTATTCATGAAGATCTCGGCAGATAAAAAAATCTTACGTTGTTAATGCATTAAACGTTAAACCGTGGATATTATAACGCCCGGAAAATGCCATAATGTTAATTTAAATTAGCAAGAAGATATGCAGATTATGCTCCATAGCGGGACTTCGTGTATATGAATGTTAAAATAAGTTTCAAATTGTCGGCGACGCGAACTTGGCTCCCCTGAGTGTTGGAAGGAGGAGGCGGAAGGGGCGAGGGTTTCGGGTGGGGGGGGGAAGGAGACTAATTTGGAGTGCAGCCTCCAGTTGGCAGCACCGTATATATAGTAATCTAGCAGTAGAAGCTAAATTCATTAACAATCCGGGGGAAAAATGTCTGCAACGTTAATATTAAGCTGTAGAGAAGGAGGATAGGAGATCGGCAGGGCTGCAGACAGGGCGGAGAGCGTCTCATTGCAGCTAATTTTTTTCTATGTAAAACTTTTTTCTGTTTTAATTTGAACTTCCCCGCCCCTCCTTTAAACCGGTCACGTTTCAATGTGCCAACTTATTTGTGACTAAAGCTTTCCTCAGGGCAAATTTCATGATTCTAAGTTGAAACGATTTAATGAGAATTCAAATTTACCCGTACATTTTCCCCCCTTGATTTCCCTTTTAGGTAAATTCAAATAATCCTCCATGTAGGAGTTTCCGTGGTTTGTTCATCTGCTTTCCACCTAGCCGAATTCATTCACTGAAACTCGACTGTTTTGTGTCGTCATAACGACGAGATCGTATACAATTGTTCCACCTTTCCTTATCACGTCATAATCGAAGAAACTCCACGGAGCGGAGTCCTTTTGAGAAGAGAATAATTGTCACTCATCCTCTCATGATATTACCGCCTTTTTTGCAACCCAAAGAATCATTACCGCGTTCACTAGAGCTCGCCATTGGGCCATATGAATTCAGTCCACATTCCGTTTCCTTGAGATTCGTTTTAATATCATCTTCCCATCCATACCTATGTCTTCCAAGTGGCTTCTTCTCTTCCGAAGGCAGACGCCTGTCGCCGACTTTTGTTCGATGTTTCAGCCATTCCGGTGAAGCAGATTGGCTGCATAACTGCCCTGTCTTCACAGCCATTAATTTTCCCGAGATGGTAACGAACAAGTGGCCCTCACAGTAAGAGTCTCTTCATTCGAACCCGTCCTCTTGCTTTCCCTATCTTTGCCGTTTTCTCTTCGTCTCACGACGCACTTTTCTGTATTCCTCGTTTGTTTAATTAACTATCTTCCTCCCCTGTTTCTGACGCCAAATCCTTTGTGGAGGGGGATTGTGTAACATGAGGTATCCTGTACGGCCCCTCAGCTTCGTATTCTAATTCTAAGGGGAGGGGCGGGGGATGTTGTGGAGGGTCGTAGTGAAAATTTACACCAAAGGCACTTGTCTTATATACGCCAGCTATTATGAATTCGAAAGGATCATTTGACGTTAACACTAACTTTGTGAAATGTGTAACTGTTGAGGGTTCTTTACATATGCTACTAGTCGCAGGCTCTGAGCTGTCACAGCTCAATAAAGTGACTGGCTTCCGTCTGGATAGTAAGTCTTACTTCGAATCCCGGAAGGGACTACATTTTTCATTGCTGTGTCAGATACGTCGCAAGAAGATTTTGCCATCAATATTATCAACAGGCCTGTCAGTGTCATTCTTTGCTCATTTCGCCGAGAAAGACGAATTCGCCAGCTAACAGGTTCCATAGACCTAACCTAACCTAACCTAACCCAACCTCTGCAGGTGGCGTTGTCGTGAGACGCGGGACGACGACTGTGGCGCGCTCTCTCGTCAGCCCGGCAGTTGCTTAATTAAAATATGTCAGCATATCCCGTCAGGGAATTTAATGAAGTTCCTATGATGTGCTGATGTCACACGTAGTTGGAAGTGAATGACGTTACTTAGCAGCTAATTGGCGGTGTGACGGTGATAATTACAATGACGTCAAGCGTCAGTTTATTAGCACCGCGTGATGTCTTACTGAGTGTCTTGGTCTTATCTCACTAGGTCTATACTTTGTGTCACATAACGCCAGGCACATAGACAATGCCACTGCTTTGGCTTCCGGCTCGTTGCTCGTAATTTAGTCTTACGAGTGTCTGTGTGTGTGTGTGTGGGGGGGGGGTTAATCCCTTTCCAGGGATTCTCCACATTACATGTATCTTCCGCGTTAAGTACCGTCCTTTTATTTCGAATAATATTAAATATATTACGGATAGTTGTTTT